TTTAAACTACGTCCAAAGAGGGCGTTTTTTTTTAACGTTTTGTGTGCTACCTTTATTTATTAAATATCATATTCTTTGCACTTAAACCATAAAATTCATTTAAATAACAATGTCGCAAAAGAATTTTAAAGCATATCTTTAGAAGAATTTCCGATACACAGTTCCGCGCGCTGGAGATAATTTTTTTTTTTCGTATAGTGTTGCCATTCCTCGCTTTTAAATCGTTGAGTTTGTTAATCAAAAATTCGTTAAAGTTTTACAAAATATTGAAATAGATAATAAAACAAATTTCAAATTTGGGCTTCCAGAATGCCCATATTCGCAGGAGGATTACGTCATTCAAAATTCGATGGCTCTATGTACCGTTGTTTTTATCACAATGCGAGAAATATGCAAATATTCGTGCATTATGCACATTTTTCATTATTTAATTTCTTCGAATATAATGCAGGACTCTAACAACGAAAAGAATGGTCCTCCAGGATCAAAGTCTCTTACACCTAATGATAAACCGTTTTAAAGTGGGCAAAAAAAAAAATGACACTATAAAATATCTGTCGTTTTATAAATTAACTGATGATAAAACCGTTAGTGTTTAGAAAATTATATTTCATATTACGGATAGATTAAATAATAACGGAATGCATAATATAATATTATTGCTAGATTCGTTAAACCGTAATAAAAAATAACAAACTATACTATGCCAATAGTTCTGTTTAGCAGCTTTCGTGTGCCGTCTTTACTGACAATTCGTCATTTATCAACACTTTAATGTGACACAAGCTGTTAACTTCAGTTAGGGATGGATGAAATTTAGTTTAAAGAGTCCGGCAATCATTGATTTAACAGAGGAGAAACATTTGCTCCCCGTGAATTCTTTCCTTCCGGGTGAGGTGGGTCGGTTTCTTTAAGGAAATGGGTGAAGAAGCAAACCACGGGGAGAACATACGATTTTCCCGCAGGCAAGTTGGAAAAACCTGCTATCGAAATGACCTTGATCAGGCTGCAGCCAGCTCAACGTCTTACCTCTTAAAACCTCCCTCAAGAGAAGCCCGCTATAACCCTGCCCGGTTAAATTAGAATTTGGCAAGGTTTCCCCAATCTCCAAGATCGGCGACATTATTTGGCGAGATTTTAGAGTTCCTTTTTTTCCGTTCCTTATTTTCCGAGTGACATTTTTTCCGTTCCTTATTTTCCAGGGACATTCTTTCCGTTTCCCTTTTTTCCGGGTGACATTTTTTCCGCACACCTAGCGAATGCGCGAAACCTTAATGGGAAAGCTGTAGACACATCCCCGCATGCGCAAATTTAGCTTCTCTAAGTGGGTGCGGCTTAGACCCTATGTCGCAGGTGTGAACGGAACTCCAGCATTTTATTCCTTGTGACTATGCATCGCCGTCTGAACATTTACATCGCCTCTGTGGCATTTACATCGCCGTCTGAACGCAGTTTTACATTCCCTGGTCATAACGTTCAATGCATCTTTCAGTAACCGAAAGTAGCATGGTCTCCCAACAGTGCGGTGACGTCTGTATAAACTGTGATGATCTTACCGTCACAGTGATGTTATAGGTATGGCTTATTGTCGCCTTTTTGTAACGTCTTATTGCGACGTTTATGTGACGTTTTATTATGACGCTGTTGTGAAGTCACACTCTGACGCTTATGTGCAAGTATTCTACGACGTTGTTATGAAGTTGCAGGGCGACGCTGTGAAGCAGTGGCGTAGTTAGGGTGGGGCAAGGGGAGAATCCCCGGGCTCAGCATCCAGGGGGCGCCAATTTGATGTTACGAAATTTTAGAATGACATCCTTTCCATTCTTGGCACATAGAAGGGGCGCAAAATCTTCAGCTGTCCCCGGGCGCTGAAAAGCCTAAGCTACCGCTCTGCTGTGAAGTTACACTGCGATGTTACGTAAGGTCATAAGACGACATAATTGTGAAGCCACAAAGCGATATTGATGCTGCAACTTTGATATAACGTCAAAAAATGACGTGAATGTAACAAGATAAATGAACCTAAATATAATGTCGCTAAAGATATGACGCAACCTTGTATTGCTTTTTAAATGACTACTGTAAGGTCACATATTCCTATTTTAAAAATTTCCTTCAAAGAAATGGATGTTTTATTTATCCAATAAGAAATTTAATTTTTAGGGTATTAAAATATAATCAAATGGCGGCCTTGTTAAGGTTAGAACTTAAACTTTGAAATTGTTGATAATTCTACAACTATTGCATGCAGATTAACTAAAAGCATAAAAACTTCAAGTGGAACATCAGGGCAACATAATTCAATCACTTTTAAAGCAAAAAAATGCGCAATTTACCAGCATATAATAAAAAAAAAAATAATAATAAAAGATAACCGAGACAGATAAGAGGGTGGATATACATATAGAGAGAGACATTTTTCATTTATATGAGATACATACATACGTAGTTACAGATGTCACGGAAAAAATCACTTCTGAATTCATTTTACAATCCTTTTTCGTAAGTACAGATGTCAGATCAAAAAATGGTCTAAATGGATTCGAGAGCGGTCAAAATGGATATTTTCGCTGAAATGTGATATCCGAAATTCTGTTACGTATACAACTTCGTACCAGGAAGTAAAAAATGGTTAATTCTACTTATATAAAAATGTAATACTTGTCATTAGAATAATTTTTCTAGCCAAATAAGAGAAAATAATTTAGAATAATTTTAAAGTACAAAAGCCTTTAAAATATAGTACAGATATACATTTCATAAAACAACATTGTATGCTTCTTTAAACTACTTAGAAATTCGTCGTATTACTTAGAAATTGACGAATAGAATACTACTATTCGTCAATGTGAGTGGCGCATGTGATTTTCGTATTGGTTTGTCTAAGTGTCAATAAAGAACATTTTAAGCAGTTTCAGGGGATATTACATCCTGCTACCAAAATACTGTGCTGATTATCATATTGATGAAATATATTGTTTTTTATTTGTATCTGTATTTTGCTCTACTTAAAAAAAAATATCGATAGAAGTTTTCTGCAAATAAAACTTTCATCTCTTCATTAGGTCTTAAGGACAGAGGGACAAGGGTTTAGGAGCTATAGAACCCACAAAGTATTAATAAAGCGTGTATAGATGAACATATTTTCGTAATGAGGTCTGGATTTCTTGTATGTACATGCATTGTCAGCTTCCGAAGTTACCTGATGGTAAAGTCTTACAAAAAGAACTGGTACCTGATGGATTTACGGGAATAATCCAGCCTCTGGATATTCAATTTTTCAGACACTACGTATATTTTGTTCGTTACATAACGGACACAATTATTATCGAGACACAGGAGCACATTTGGCATCGCTATAGCTTTCTGGCCCTGCAGTCTGTAAAGAACGCTCCTGAACTCCCTACTAGAAAGACCTATGATGCTCTCGACTAGACAGAACGTCGTTAGCAAACTCCTCACACTACGAGTACTATAATTCATTTTAATACCTATTTTAAAGAACTGTGAATGGCAACGACTTAACTGAGTAATGCGCATGTGTAAAGAGAAGAGACTGCTGGTCAGACGCCTGTGAGAGAGAGTTTGGGAAGCTCCGCCAGCGAGCTGAGGTGTGGAGAGTAAATTTGTCCAGTGATGACGAGTGCTATCTTCGTTAACGTCTCTGATCGTTAAGACACAATAACACGCCGAATAAATACTAATTCAGAAGTCAAACAACAAAAATCAGCGTTATATTTACAAAATTTTCACAGGACTAGTTTCGATGGTTTTACCGAACCACCATCTTCAGCTGCAAAACCGCAAATGAACAAGATAGGAAATAATGTTTAGATAAGATAAGAAAGCCTAGACAAGAATAAGTTCTGGTTTCACCAACAGATGGCGCCACTTGCTTATTCTTGTCCAGGCTTTCTTATCTTATCTAAACATTATTTCCTATCTTGTTCATTTGCGGTTTTGCAACTGAAGATGGTGGTTCGGTAAAACCATCGAAACTAGTCCTGTGAAAATTTTGTAAATATAACGCTGATTTTTGTTGTTTGACTTCTGAATTAGTCTCTGATCGTGTTACCAACTCGGATATGTACTCAAGTTTTCTAAATGTATTAATTAAATGTTGTATCTGTGGTATGTGCTGTGAATAAAGTGATGCATCGCCAATACCAGTGTTGATTCCGTTCCCACTGAAGCATCCACGACGTCACAAGTCCTTTTCACTATGTCAATTCAGCGCTCCTCGTTTTAAGAAATTGATTAAGTATGCTTTTTATAAGGGTTAGATACCAGGACGACGGACGTGGAATGTGGATTGCGCCAGTGGATGACTGCTTCGATTCATCGACAAATGATGAGTGTGCAAAGTGTGAGGCCTATCGCTTTTTTAATGTGAACTGTCTTTCTGCCCGTCTTGCTGTTTATTTGATGAATTGCACATTGATTGTCTTTTAGAATAGATTTTGTTTGAAGTCAATAATAAGTCGCATTTTCAACATTTCATCCCAACGTCTACTTTTACTTTTCAACAAGTTATTTCTTCCTTTATAATGAGATCCCCTTCTTACCATATTACTAGTTCATATAAATGCGTGAAACGAACATTTTAGCGACTTTTGGGGTCATGTTGCCAACACTTTTCTGATACTTTGTGGGTCCTATAGCTCCTAAACACTGGTCCCCCTGCCCTTAAGATTTTATAGTTTTTCTACTTGTGACATAAGCTTTCAGAAAATATGTGGGTTTCTGGAAAACCGGTACCAAAAGAAAGAAGGTTCACAAGTGAGTAGTGAAACTAATATATGCAGTGAACATAGCTATGTGGATGCAATTACGCATGTAAAATTACTATTTTTTGCAATAAATGTAAGAAAATTTCAGTTAATAATGTAACAAATTTTCTATATACTCGTACATGTAAATAATTTTAATGAAATTTTCTATGTACTCGTACATGTAAATAATTTTAATGAAATTATATGTATATTATAATATATTTGCAGCATTTCTTGTATAATGAAACAGGAAAGACCTCAACAGTGTGAAACAGCGCCGCAAAAACCCAGTTACAGGAGTAAGTCCATTTACCACTCTCTAAATTAGTAATTCTCAGTTTTTAGACTATACCATCTAAACCATCTAAACAAAAATTCTGATGTGTGCACCACATGACTTCCTTGTACGGAATATTAAATTATACGCATTTTTTTTTTCTTGAATTTCATTTAAATTGATTGGGTTGAATTAAATCTATTTCGTCGATAGCGCATAAACCGCAATAGAATAAATGCACTCTTTAAAATTCACTATATTTGTTTACCATAGCGACACTCTGGCCCTAGGCATCTGAAATCCCAAATTTGAAATTTTATTATCGATTTCATATTTTGTAAAACTTTAACGAATTTTTGAGTAACAAGCTCAACGAATTAAAAGCGAGCCATGGCAACACTCTACGGGGGGGGGTACACTTTTTTTATCTGCAGGTCGTCGAACTGTGTATAGGAAATTCTAAAGATAGGCTCATTTTAAAATTAGTTTGCAACATTGCTATTGAACTAAATTTTATGGTTTCAGTGTAAAGAACATGATATTTAATAACTAAAGGTAACGCAAAAAACGTTTAAAAAAAAAAAAACGCTCCTTTCGACGTAATTTAAAATCTTAAACATTTCAGATTTTTTTGGTGGTGTTTTTATTATTATTTATTTATTTATTTTTAGTTTAAAGGGGCAGTTTTCCCAGGAAGGACTATTAATTCCGTTTCGTCGTTTTACGTTGATTCACTTTTCAAATTGTTACCACAGAATATTATCGACCTGTATTATATTTAAAGAAATTAAATAATGAAAAAATCCGCATAAATGTATTTATGTTCCTCGCATAGAGATAAAACAACAGTACCTAGAGCCATCCAGTTTTGAATAACGTAATCCTCCACCGAATATAGGCATCTGGAATCCCTAATTTGGAATTTTATTATGGATTTCATATTTTGTAAAACTTTAACGACTTTTTTATTAACAAACTCGACGATTTGAAAGCGAGCAATGGCAACATTGTACGAAAAAAAAAAGAAAGAAAAAAAAATTATCTTTAGCGCGCGAGACTGTGTATCGGAAATTCTAAAGACATGGCTCATTTTAAAATCATTTTGCAATATTGCTGTTGAACTGAATTTTGTGGTTCAAGTGCGAAGAACATGATAATTAATAAATTAAGGTAACACACAAAACGTTAAAAAAACGGCCCTTTGAACCTGATTTAAAATCTGAAACCTTTCAGATTTTTTTATACATAATTTTTTATTTATTTATTTGATAAAAATTTGTTTATTGATTTACACCAAAAAGAAACTAACATGCTTATAAGGTTCCTTTATGGTAATTTAAGCGGTCCTTTCCAGTCTCCCGCCACAATTTTTACATTATCTAAAATTATTTTTAATGCTTTTCAATCACTTTCCAAAAAAAAATTCAAAATAAATCCTTTCCAGTCGTACATATTTTATTAAACGTGTGGATAACGTTCCAACCTGCTAATTGCAACATTTGGGAAGTACGCTTTTCAAGAAAATAACCGACTTTTGGATCGCTGAAAATTCATTGTTTTGGTTTGAATAAACATATTAATTATTTTTTTAACCTTACCGTCATTCGTTTGGAAGTTAAATTGCAAGCCATCAGGTAGTCTTCCCTCCTATTTGTCGACTGGCTAGACATGCATTGATAAGGGCAAATTTGAACTTGGGTAACATCTAGACATTTTTTATTAACAAACTCGACGGTTTAAAAGCGAGCAATGGCAGCACTATACGAAAAAAAAAAAATTATCTCTAGCCCGCGTGACTGTGTATCGGAAATTCTAAAGATATGCTCACTTTAAAATCCTTTTGCAATATTGCTGTTGAACGTCAAGTGCGAAGAACATGATAATTAATAAATTAAGGTAACACACAAGACGTTAAAAAAAAAGCCCCTTTGGGCATAATGTAAAATTTGAAAGCTTTCAAGTTTTTATATTATTTATTTATTTTCCAAATAAAACATGAAAGAAAAAATCCTTGTTTACAGAAATAGGTTGAGCAGAAAGGGAATAATTTAATGGCTTTATTTGAAATGCCTTTGAATTTCTCTCCCTCCCTCAGTTCAGCCTAAAGTTCACAAGTGGGTTTGTTACCTTTGAAATCTTCAATTAAGAGTTCAATGAAAGAAAATTTCTCTCAACTACAGAGGTTGTTCGCACATTTTTTAGACGATTTTGGTAAGCGGTGATAAAAAATCGTTTGCTGCAAAAGAAATAATTGCAATTGTACTATGTTTTTAAAAGTCAAAAATCGTCTGTGGCTTGAAAGTTTTTTTTATTCAAAATGCGAATTTAACAAAGCAGTGGTTCGAAGGCTACATTGACGCTCTTTCCGAAGAGAAGTATGCATACTCCTTATCCAAAACGATGTGAGGTATGTTTTCTGATATCTAAAGCGTCGATAGGTAATATCATCAACAAGAAAGGAAAAAAAAAAAAAAAAAAAAAAAAAAAAAAAAAAAAAAAAAAAAAAAAAAAAAAAAAAAAAAACGTTATCATTTTGTTGTCACGTCAAATTGGAGCCTCAAGGGCAAAATTCCAAACAAGTATCACGGAAAAAACGGACATCTCGACTATGCAAAGGTACGTTGTTTGTTAAAAGAAATCCTCCTGTCAAAGGACAGTTGCAAAATCATTAAAATGCCGTTGTCCCTGTAAACAAATGATAACGTTGATTTAATCTTAAGAAGTGAAAAAATAGCCATTATTATCATAAAAGAGGAGGAAAAAAATTAAATACATGGTTCAAGAATCGAAAGAAAGCTTTTTTCTAAGGATTCATGATTGTGCTGGTTTTCTTAAAATGGCAATAAAAATACAGAGAGTGCAAAAAAATGTCAAGATTAACTCCAAATACTGTTAGGAACATATTTCATCGCCAATTGTTCTGAATAAAATACTATCGCTTTACCCACAGTGATCCAATCTGTGAGACTCCATCAGGACAGAAAGCTAGCAGTCACGCATCAAAATCTACTGTAAATTTCCTAAACGAAATGGAACAAAAAACTGGCATCAAAGCCCTACCCTGCATTGATATCCCTACTAAATCTCCCGATGCTGCATTGATATCCCTACTGCATTGGTATCCCTACCTATGGATTTTTGTGCTTTCGGACTTTCAAAACTGCATTATCCAAACGTTGTCCCCAAACCCTAACAGGAGTCTGGAAAACTGTTCGGGAGGAATGGGATAGAATATTTCTTCTGCCACGTCAAAAGGCATTATTATCCTGGAAATTGCGGTGTCAAAAGATAGTTCAGAATAAGGGATGTCAACTAGAACATTTAAAACACAAGAATTTTATGTAATTTAGTTTTGTGAATACAATATACATCGTTTAAAAAATGTGTGAACAGCCACCGTATTTCTTTTTCTTCACGAGATTTTTGAATTTAGTAGATAAAAATACTTTCTCTTTATTATTTTTCTCTCGCGTACCACCCGCGGTATGCGTACTACCGGTTGAGGAGCGCTGCTATAAAGGATTACCCATAATGTTTTGTTATAAAAAAATTTCACAAGTCCTCTGAGTGTTTCCTAAATTATTCTAACGCCTCGGTTTCAGTTCTGCATTTCTAAGACAGTCAGTGCGACTTTCTGGCTCCGGGTGATGATGTTCCACGACATAGCGAATATCTACCCCACCTCTGATGCCTATTTCCTGTCTCAGTGCTGTAAAAGCGGCGATCAATATTTAGTGATTCGCCTTTCGCTGAGCCATGCTGAGGGGAAATCATTTCCCTCCAAGTAAAAAACGGCAATTTTTTTTTACCCTCTCGAGGAAAAGAGAGAGGATGAGCGGAAAAGAGTCCGAAAAATCCCGGCTTTAATCTTCCTCTCCAGTCTAATCATCCTTTCTGGAGAAGAGAGAAGCAGACCTCCCGCACGCTGATGGCGTGCCGTCTCTCCATAACCGGCGGACCGCGGAAAGCTTATCGACTCTCAGCCAGGCACCGCATCCCTTTCTCTACCCCTCTCAACCCACCAACGTTGAAGAATTCCAAATCGTGCTGATGAAAGCACGACTTAAGTAGAGAGGTCTGGGATGGTCGAGTTCTATTCGCGTTCGCTGGGGTATTGATGTTCTTCCAACTCGTCCTCAGAAATTCTGAGGGATATACAGAGATGCTGCTCGAATTGTGCCAGGGAATAGAACTGGAATGAAGGAACGGATTAAGAAAGATTTTTCGACGAATAGACTACAATCAGCGTTGCCAAATTGCGACGCGTATTTTAACAAGCAATAGTTTTATTTTTGAAATATTCCAACGGGAAATATTCCAAGAACAAGATGTTCTATAAATAAAGTAAAAACACAGAATGTTAATAATAAAAAGACCAAAAAACAAGTTTTGTAAAGCCATTTTAGTAAGAAAACTGGACATCGATATGAAAGACTGAAATAAAATAAAATGAAATCTGAAAGCTTTTATATTTTACATTCCGTCCAAAAGGACCTTTTTTTTAACGTTTTGTGTGTTACCCTCATTTATTAAATATCATGTTCTTTGCACTGAAATCATAAAATTCAATTCAACAGCAATATCGCAAAATAATTTTAAAATGAGCTTATAGAATATCCCATGCGCAGTCTCGTGCCCAGAGATAAAAGTGTTTCCCTTCCCTTCCCCGTGCAGTGTGCCATTGACGCTTGAAATGTCGAGTTTTGTTAATAAAAAAATCGTTAAAAGTTTTACAAAATAGAAATGGGTAATAAAAAAATTCCAAATTGTGCCTTCCATATGTTCATATTCGTGGGGATCCGTATTTAAAATGGATGCTCTAGTTCCGTGTTTTATACAGTACGAGAAACATATATGCATTTATGCAGATTCTTCATTATTTAATTTCTTTAAATATAATACACGGCGAAAATATTCGGTGGCAACAATCTGAAAAGTGAATCTAGATGTATAGTGAGTGAATCAACACAAAATGCCAGAACGAAATTAATAGCTCTTCTGGGCTAACGTCCTTTGGGCTA